ACCCTTAATTTGGCAGCTGTCAAAAAACATAAAGAAAAAGACTAAAGGCCCATAAAAACTAAAAGCCATTAACTCAAAGAAACTAACGAACAAAACATAAAATATTATGACCCATCTGACACACTATTTCAACAATAATCATAAGAACCGTTTCAAAAAAACAATATGCGATAGGTTATTCGATGAAATATGGCTTTTCATAATAGACTATTCTGATAAACAACAATGAATAATCATCTACAGTGAACTCTAGAAGAGCTGGGGATGGAAAAGGACAAGATTTATATGTATCGACATTTGATATAGCTCACTAGCGGTGAGAATGAAGGCCCAATGGTTTTTGCTAATGGAGGTTTAGAGAAAAGTAAAGTCCAAAAGAGGTAGGGATCATGCCTTAGTTTCCAGCTCTGCCACCTTGCTCCTCAACCTTTGGTCTTCCTCTACCTCGGCGCCATGAGCACCATATTATTCCTAGCTAGGAACTCTTGCATTGCGTTGTTGGTGTCTCACATAGACCGAGGCATATCAATCACAGTAGTTTTAAGTAACGTTTTAAAAAATGACTTAGGAATGGAATTGTTCTAGTTATCGGTTTTTGGGTCGATGGTCCAACCGTCCAGTTTGAATGGATGGTCCGTTCTAATAAATAAATTAAAAATAATAATTAAAAAATAAAAAATGGTCAAAAACTGTTGAACGGGTGAACAGTTTGATCGCCAGAATTAACGGGTTGTTGACTTTTTCAATGGTTTTTGGTCAAAGACCAGGTTTGGGATAAAATGGAACCGGTTGCCTAGACGGTTCCCGGGCCAAACAGTCCGACCGTCTGGGTCAACGGCGGTTCGAAAACCTTGGTCCTAAGTAAGTCCCCGTTCCTTAGTGATAGACTCCCTATCTGCCATGCGTTGTAACTGTTGGTTCCAATGAACTATCTTCCATACAACAAGGGTGAGAGTCAATGGTATTCGAAAATTATTGACAAGGGGTGTTCATGGTATTCAAAAATTTGATTTCGAATTCGATATTTGATATAATTGAATCGAATTCGGATATCTAATCGGTTGAATTCGGATATCCTATTCTTACTGAATAGTTAATCGGATTCGAATTCGGATATGACCTTATTCGATTCAATAAATATCTGAATTCGATCAATTATTTAATTCATATATATAATATATAATATATAAAATATTTTATATAACTTATATATAATAATTAAGTTCTATAAATAATTTATATATTTATATACTTTATATCAATAAAATATTTATTTTATATATTTATCAATTATCAAAAATAATTAATTAATCGAATTCGAATCGAATCGAATCRAATCGAATATTCGAATATTTAACTGAATCTGAATTCGGATATTAATTTTCAATATCCGTCATATATCGGATTCGAATTCGGATATTGCCTGATCGGATTCGAATTCAATCCGTATACACCCCTATTATTGACTAACGTCTCCTCCCCATTAGCGGTAGAGCTCCAACTCCAAGGGATGTGTTCAAAGGAAATGGAGATCGATTGAGAGACCCCTATTTTGAGAACCAAGCACATGTGCAACTTGCAAACGTATTAGTGTATCTCAAGTAAACCCAAGCTGATTTTGGAAGGAGTACAAATGCAAATACTGCAAAACCTTATATTTTATATGTATTTACACTGTACATACCTGCATTTGTACTCCTTCCTGAGCCTATATGAAAGACATTTTTGGCTTTCAAAACTGACCAGCTACTGGGATACTGGGCTAACGACATTAGATTATTTTGTCATCTTTTCATCTACATTTAGATGATAAGACTGGACATGCCATAAAAATTTTCCAAACAATGCCTAAAACTAGCTTCACCAGAAAGTTTATTTTATGACTGAACAAAAATGTATTGGGGCTTTCAAGTTTTTCATCAAACATAGTTTCTAGGCTTTCTATGTGGGGGTACACCTTGCAAAGCTAGAAGAAACTATAAAAGCTTGCTAAGCCTGCTGAGATTAAAGCATGTAATCACGAGCATCGAGAGAAAATCAACTTGAGAAACCTCTACAAACGGTGCAAATTCAAGAAACACCAAAAAATATCGGCTGGATCCCTCCAACAGAGATGAATCAGCAAGTGTGTCTCCCTACCAAAAGGGTCCGGATCAACTCTGAAAAACCCACAAAAGGGGTAAAGAAAGATCCCCTCCTGTGAACATGGTTGTATATCCAATAATCTGCCCAAACTCTAAACAAAACACAGTGACTCTCCGAACATCCAAGGAATGGGCCCCACAGAAAGCTAAAAAGACCGGAACGGATCTGCTCCTCACACATGGACGCCTCACAGGCACATCCATCGTGTATTGGGAACATTTCCCATGAATAATAACTTTTAAATACAGAAAATGTTCCTAATGCATAGTAGCATGTGCGTGTGAGGTCGGTGAGACACCTTTTGTGAGTAGCAGATCAGGTCTCAAAAAGACCACGTAACACTTAGTAACTGTAGGGGCGTAACTATCCATCCAAGTCATTAATACTGTGTAACTGTAGGGGCGTAACTATCCATCCAAGTCATTGTAGAAACTGAAACAGTTGGAGAATGAATGTTGTCGAGACAACCCGAATATCACCGGAAAAGGTTTGCCAGGAACGGTAGCATCATTACAAATAAAATACCCAAAATGCTTGAATCGAAAGCACAGAAAGCCAAGCTCCGGAGAAAAATCAATATCTCCAAATCGTAAAGAAGCACCTAATAATCCTAAAAGCAGATTGTTAGTGGCACTAGGTTCAGCAACGAGAATCATACAGAAATCCCTCTAGCAAAATCAATTGAAAGTACAAATCCACCCCAAAGAAAATCGAATCTAGGCTGCTCCCTATCCGACGTCTTGAATGTTCCAGGGGAAAACAAATAGTCCCACAGCATACCCCAAATGCACGCCCTACACAACCTTGACCAAGGCCAAACAGAAATGGAGAAACGATCGGAGATGAAAGAAAGACTGAGGATTAGAACCATAGATCTGAAGTCTTCTCCACAAGCTTGGATCAAAATCGTTATCACCCAAGAGGCCAAAAGTGTAACAAGAACCTCTTGAAGAAACATATATGAGAAAACGATGTGAGAGAGAAACCCTTACGCAGCGTGTGAGAGAAAACTCGCATCCATAGATCATAGCTGTAAGAGATTTTAGCATGCAATTCATTCATAGACAATGTCAACATTAAGAAATTGAATATGAAGACGGAATTCATAAAAAATGAATTATCTATATAAATATATTAAGCTGAAATGTGTAAGAAAGCTTAAGGACGAGGAAAATGGAATCTAACAGTATTTTTTGCCTTTACTTCTTAGAAATTACAAGAATGACACTCTCTACCAACTCTCTCTCTTTCTCTCTCTCTCTCTCTCTCACGGTTGTGTTTTTTTCTTTCAAATTACAAGAATGCCACTCTCTCCTACCAACTCTCTCTCTCTTTTTCTTACAAATAAAAAGAATGTCATCTCTCTCCTTATAAATTACAAGAATGCCACTCTCTCTCCAATTAAGGGAGACCTCAGCTTGGCATCTCGACTGCTAGGGGACCTATAATAAAAGGTAATTGATTTCAAGCCAAGCCGAGCTCGAACTTCTGAGCTCAAGCTCAAGTCTCTAATTCAAATCGAGCTCTTAAGTTGGACAACACCTCGACCACTGAGGGAGACCTCGGCTCGGCACCTTGGTCATTGAGGGAGATCTCGGCTCAGCACCTCGACAACTGAGGGAGACCTCAGCTTGGCACCTTATCAACTAAGGAAGACCTTAGCTCGACACCTCGCCTATTGGGGAAACATCAGCTCAACACTTAAATAGTTGAGGGAGACCTCGATTTGGCACCTCGACAATTGAGGGAGACATCGACTTGACACCTTAGAAGCTTGAAAAACTTGCAATCAAAGGTAGTCGAGCTCAAACTTTCGAGCTTTTGTCTCGAGTTCGAGCTTGACAGTTTATGAGCGAGCCCTTGCAACACATGGCCCCCTTACTAGTGTGATCTTAAAACCAAAAAAAATTATGGTTGTTATGGCTAGGGGTGCAAGTCAGGCGGGTTGGGTCGGGTTTATGATCAACCTAGGCTCGGCCCTAAAACTTGGGCTTAAGGCCCAAGCCCAGACCAAGCCCGAGGTCCAACTTGATTTTTCCAACCCGAGCCCAGCCCAAACTGTAATTTGATGCACTTGAGTTGGGCTCTGACCCAAGTCAGGCTCGGGTTGGTCAATGAACCCACTCTAAAATTATACACATATAAATGTATTTATGCAAATATATATATACATATATTTATGTATATATGTAAATATGTATGCAAAATGTATAGAAAAGATACACGCACATCAACCGATACGAGTCGATACATATCAATACTTTGAACCTTGTAACTTGTGTATGTATAAATGCATATAGTTGAGCCGGGCTTGGGCTGGGTTCAAGCTATACCTAAAGGCTAGGCCTGAGCCCGACACAAAAAATAAGAAAGTCCAACTTCTTGGGCCCAAGCCCAGCCCGAGGACCAGAAATCCAAGCCCAACCCGTATTAAATTCCGGGCTGGGCTGGTTTGAGCTCGGGCTGGGCCCGCCCAAGTTTCACCCCTAGTTATGGCAAGTCACAACATTTTCTACTTCGTTGCTTTTAATGATGGAGCCTGTTTACTTACTATTTTGCTCATGAGATTCTTTGTTATATAAAGATGATAGAGCTACTGCCATTTTCCCAATTTACGGAAAACCCCAAAAAAAAAAAAACTGTTATAGAAAAAATAAGCTTTGACCTCTCAGATTTTAGAATACCATGAAATACATTCGATACACATTTTGGGTATTGAGTATATTGAGTGAAACTCTTATCTTTTTAATTTTTCATTTGCTAATTTGACAGGGGGATACTGTTTCAAATAATTGAAATCTTGTAAATACTCTTATTTAACGTATGGATCACCCAGAAAACCCGATGCATATTGGTTGATACACAACTGATACCTTTCGATATTTTGAACCTTGGCCTGAAGTTACTGGGCAGATGATAAATATCTAATCAACCACAATGTATACACAAATCTACAAACGAAGAAATGAGGAGGAAACATAACTAGCTAAAATCTAACTAAAGAATGAACTGGTTGATTAAATCCTACTTGGTTAGGATAACAAATTACAGAAACCCTCATTACCAAACTTATAGAATGTACTACCTTTTCCACCCATATCAAACCCTGTACCCCGAGAACCTGTAAATACCCCTTACCAAATTAATGGCACCAAGAACCGGTCCCAAAATAGTAATCATAAGATTTGTTGAGAACATGTGAGGCATCAAGACGATAAGTAATCTCCATCATCATTGATTAGTCTTGAACGAGCTGGATGGAACCTGCAACAAAGAAGGCTTAAAATAATGCTTGGATGATCTCTAGTACATGGCGCAGGCTCTATGGAAATGCCAGAACTGAAACTGATTAATCAGATCAGACCAATCCAATTTTCATTAATTTCTTTAATCATGCAGGCATGCATGTAGAAACACATAAAATTGAATGTACACAGGAAAAAAGAGCTTTTCATGCAGGTATGAACTTGAACATGACTAATGCATGAACTAATGTATATTCAAACAAATGGCATACTTTTGAAAACCATAAAATGTATGATGCAGGGGCATAGATGTCATTTCATCTGTCATTATCTTTTAATATAAAGATAGTGCATGCTTTATGATTTATCATACCACTAATAAATCATAAACCACATTGATCAACCCTTTTATTTTATTCTTCTATTTTTCCATTCTTTTAGATCAGGTTTCTTTTCTCCTCGGATCAGCCACACCAGAATTCTTTCTTTTTAATATTTGTCTCATGAACAAGATCTCTCGTGTGAGATTCATGTCTCTATGAAAAAAAAAAGGTCTCAGTCTGTTTTTCCTGGAGCTTATGTGGTGCACCAGTTCAGATCTGCTTGGGTAAAACTGATTCCAGGATGCACTGAATCCAGATGGAGTCCAGTAAGGAATTGGCAATGAAGCAGATGACCTTTAGAACACTGTTTCATGGAGTCCAGTAAGTATATCTAGGGGGATTCAGCAGCTCTCATTACTGATTTTGTTTTATACCAGCCATTGTTGTAGGCAGCAGCATTGCCATTGGTGAGTTGTGATTGTTGCTGGATGATTAGTACAAGGTATGGCAACAAATGGTGATTTCGATGATACATCCAAGATTCTAAATCAGGAATATCAAGAAGTCATTCTATTGGAGGGGGGAGGGGATTCTCACCCCGAAGCTGACATCACAACTAGAACTAGACCAGATTCCAGAGCAGTTCAACCCCTCAAGTCAACCAGATATATCCTCAGTCTGATGATCTAGAAAAGTTGTCCCAGGCATTTCTCTCACTCCAGTAGTAGAATGAGGAAGAAAGGGATCATTAGTCCCTTGAACAATCTTTCTTGAGAACTGCACCTGTTCTTTAAACTTTTTCATCAGTAGAGACTAATTTTTGTACATTCATCTCTAAATGATTAACAATTTGAATGATGAAGTTACATTTACATGGATCAAAAAAAACTTTACCTTTACATGATGCGGTATGATCTTGATATCAAAGGGTACATGAAGCCATGCTTCATGTGAATACAACAAGAAATTCTCTGGCTTACTGGTATACACATCTGCATATTGATGAATGTGGTATGCAAAAGCTGATTCCTGACCCGTGTCAGTGAGGAAAGTAGCACCGAATGAGCTATTAAACATATTCTTCATCACGGACCGTGCCATCTTCCTCTCCATATTCAGCTCGTTCAGAAGTGAGTCATAAGCTTCTCCTCTTTGACTGTTAGCTACAGTTGCATGAAATTTTCCAAGCAGTTCTTGTATTATGTGGAATTTTGCCTGGACTCAGAAACAAAAGAAAAGAAAGAAAGAAAGAATTCAGAGATCCCAAAGTTGTGAAACAATAAAGATTAATATAAAAATTCAAAGAAAATTATTACAGAATGGAAGAGACCCTTAACATTGGAACCCAAATTTCACCAAGGCCCTGACATAATCCAAAGAAAATGAATTACCAGGCAGGAAGATTTCAATGTCATTTTCTTGGTAGTAATAACTAGGGGTGATCATGAGCTGGGCTTGGGCACATAATCTAGGACCAGAGGAGCGTTTCAGAATTTAGAGCTACAGTTCCCGTTGAATGCTGAAAGTCCTACCTCAGATTGGTGATAGTTTTGAGTTTTTTGTTTAGAGAGAGTTCTGCTGGTTGGGCATTTTTGTTTTTGTTTATTGAGGGTTGTATGCTTCAGAAGCAAGCTGGGGGTTAACTTTTGAGGGTTAAAAGTTAAAAGTTGTTATTTCTTTTGTTTGGGCTTGGGAGCTTACGCTTTGCTTGGGTGTTGTCTTTCGTAGTGGGGTATCTTATCACCTCTATTTTACCTTTTTCTTTTTCTTATAAAATTACTTTTTATTTATTACCAAAAAAAAGAAATAAAACCTAGGGCCAAGCCTGGAAATTTATGTGCTGGACTGGGCCGGACTTTTACACCAAGCTAGAAATGTTCACCCTTGGTAATAACTGACCAATATAACAAATGGAAACAATGAAGAAAAGGTGTGAAGCCTAAAGAAATTGCTTTATGGGCTGAAACAGTCTCCTAGGGCATGGTTTGATACGTTCAAAAATGGGGTACAAGCAATTTTAAGCAGATCATACATTGTTCGTTAAGAAGGAAAATATCACATTATGGTTTTAATCATATATGTGGATGGTATTGTCATTACAGGGAACTTGGATTCCAAAATTAAACAATTGAAAATTTTTTTGGCTACTCAACTTTAAGTGAAGGATTTGGGTTCATTAAAATATTTCCTTTGAATTGAAGTTCTTAATCACAGAAAGACATCTTCATTTTGTAAAGTTGGGGTCCAGACCTACAGATTCACTCATGGATCTTAACCATGACCTTCGAGAAAACAGTGGAGAGGTGTTACCAAATGTGAGATGGTTTCTAGAGGTTGATACAAGATATGACTCGCTCCAACTCAGATAGTGCATGTGTTGTGTGGGTGTTTAATCAATTTTTGAATTCTCCTATAACATCTCCTATTGCAATGGTTGACTGGTCACTTAGATATTTGGAAAAACAACTTAGATATACCAATGCTGATTCGGCAGGCTTAGTTCATGCTTGAGGTCTCTATATGTCATTATACCTTTGTAGATGGAAATTTAGTAACTTGGAGGAGTAACAAGTAGAATGTGGTGGCAAAATCTAGTGTTGAAGCAAAATGTCATGTGTAGCACATAGAGTAGTTGAAGTACTAAGGCTGTTTCCCTCCTTTTTCTTTATTCACACTTTTATTTTATTAGAAGAAAACATATATTGGTAAAACTACATACGCAAAGGAACGACAGCAGTCCACTTACAGCTGCCAATGGCACTAAGATGATGTAGAGCTCTAGAACATGACGAGAAGTTGATAACATGATGAAGTGAACAATGGTGAACAGAGTCAAAGGAATGACAATGGTGCAGAGTGTCTTAGGGTCAGCAGCAGCATCGTGATTAGAACCACGGGCAATTACGACAGGAGGTATGTTGGTTAGGGATGGAGGTAAGGTTGAAGAAAGGTTGGAGTTATTAAATAGATGTCTAGTTGGTAGATTTGTTCACTCAGACCCTGATATTAGAGCAGTAGAGAAATGGGCAATCCAAGAACAGAAAAACCAAAGTTTCCCCTGTGTTCAAAGGATGGGGATGTCTTATTCTTGTTCAGTTTAAGATTGGAAAAAGAGTTGGAGGAAGCCCTAGCAAGAGAATGCTTTGGAAAAAAGAGGAATCCTGAATTTTCTTTAGTTGCTGGTGACCTAGGTATGGATTGAAAGTAGAGAAAATTAAGTTCATTTGGATCATTGTCTACGAAATACTGGTGCATGCCTGGTGTAGAGAGGTGGATTGAACCTGCCCCAAACAATTACCCAACAAGCCACTAAACATTAGAAGCTACATTAGACTAAACCGGCCCCAAACAATTACAAACATAAAGCCAAACAAGGGGAAATTATTAGGCTAAGACCTGTTCCCAAATATAACCCACTAAACATGTAAAATTACAAAAATACCCTTGCTGTCCAGAAATTTAAGAAAACCAAACAAATCTTATCCAGCAGCAAGCTTAACCAAACAAAGAGCATCTTAAGGTGGATTGAAGACTCTAGGGTCTTCCCAAGTTGAAGCACTTCTAACCCAGCTCCCATGTGGGCCCCACATCTTCATAATGATGCCAAATGAGCACAGGAGCAGCTTTGGTTCTCTTTTGATATGCCTTAAGTTCACAGTACCAAGGTATTTTCCAGGTTGAAAGATGGACTCATAGGAGTAGGCCCAAGTAGCAAATTTAAGAGAGTGCATACAAGGAAAAAATTGAAAGAAAAATCTTGTTTGATCAATGATGGTATTGCTGAGAATATTTAGAACTGTTTTCCAATAGGTGGTAACAAGGGTGGTAAATCATCAGAGGTCACTAAAGAGGTGTTGGCAAAAGAAGGGGTGTTTTAGAAGAAGTTGATGAAGGTGAAGAGGAGAGGAAGAAGTGGAATTGGATAGAGTTCGAGAAATCACGCAAAAGGTGGTGGAAACTGGTCTCAAAGTGGGTAAAAAACTGGGTTTATTGGTTTTAGGAGGGGAAGAATACACCAGAAGAGCATACCGGGAGCTAAAGCTACAATACTCAATGAGTGCTGAAAGGCCTTGATTTGTCTTGGGTGGGCATTTCTCAGTTTTTGCTCCTGAGGTTTGTGTTGCTTTGATAGAAAGCTAATGTTTTTTTCTTTTTTTTTTTTTGAGGTTCTCAAGTGATAGCCATCTGTCAGGAAGGTGTTTTCTGGTGCATAACAGTGTAGGAGATTGTGCTTCATCTGCACTTTGGTTTTTCTATTTCAAAGCTCTTCTGGGGATGTCTTTGGGTTGCTTCAGAATTATTGTGGTGATTCAAAAGTTTTCCTGGAGTCATTTTTGCTCGTTTGGTCTACATTGAAAGGATCCCAAGCAATTTAATCTTGTACTTCTCTCTCCTCTTTGTTGTATTCTCTTTTTAAGCTGTTTAGAGTCTAAGTTGTGGTGATTCCTCATCACCCTGATTGTTGTACTCTTCCTTTTATCAATAAGCTTTTCTTTTTTATTTATTACCATAAAACTACATAGACAAGAAGCACACTAGCATTGAAGAACTTCTCATAGATGACGGTGATGATGATGATGATGATAATGAAAATTTGCAACCAACCCATGGCAGGAGAGGTTAATAGTATCACCAGAAACATACCTGGTGGAAGCGGTAGTTCTCTCCATTTTGTATGCATATTTCATTCTGCAGTGATTAGAAGGAAAAAAAACCACATAAGAACTTCTGATGGAGTATGTTTAGGTATCAACCGTAAAAAAAAGTGTTGAACCTCAAAACAGTGAACAATGAAGATTCAATAATTGTGATTGAAAGGTTAAATTACATAATCTCCATATGATAAATAATGGACATGTATTATCATAACTATACATCTAAGAACATGCATTATCAGAAGATAAGTATAATTATTAAACAAAAATATAAATACAATCATATGTGCAGGTTTTGTGGCCCCAAGCCAAAACAAAAGCAACTCCTTAACGATACTTTATTCCCCAAAGAAATGCACTTGAAAGATCACAGACCCAGAAATGTGAAACCTTTGGTGCACTCTTATCTCTCAACATTCCAAGACCATTAATTCCAATGAAGCCTGAAAACAGAGCTTTGATAGTACCCATTGAATCTCTAATTACACCTACAATACTTGTTGGTCCTAGATTTCCCAGAGAGCTGCCATCAAAGTTCAACTTCACTCTTGGACTTGTCAGTGGTTTCCATTCCATCACAGCCTTTGTCATCCTTTGAAGATATAGGTAATGCTCCCCAAGCTCTCAAGATCTCATCTACATGGACTTCTTTGAATGTTTACAATGTTTTTACCCAGTTTGCAACCTTTATCTTTATAATATCCATTAATTCTCCTACCGCCTTAAATTTTTTCTTAGGAAATTCTTTCATTTCAATGTTTCTTCCTTCTTCTCCATTGCTTTTTATTTTCTTCATTTAAATAACAAACTTTTCCATGTTAGCTTTTACACATCTTACTTATAGTTTAGCTAGACCTTCATCCAAACATTTATTCAGACTAGTAAGTATGCACATGCTTTGTACATGACAATTCTAGATGATGATAATGACAGTAATAATGTATCAAAAAATGTATATTAATATGTATTTTTATTTTTTGTTTTTATATCTTTTGATTTTTATTATTAATAGGATGCACATTGCAAAATCCAAATCTGATTATATAAAACACCTCATCCAAATATCATAGTTGTGAAGCTTCAACTATCATTGATAGGCCTACCTACTTAGCTAGATTCTTCTTTTTGTAATGTTTTATCTTTTTGGTGTATCTTTTTTTGTTCATTTATCAAAGAAATGTAAGATTTAAATAGAGAAAATTGAATGAGGTGAATGATGTTGTTCAATCCTAGGTGTGCCGAGCCGAATACGCAACAAATAGTCCTTCCAACTGGACGAGATCGAGGTGGAAGGACAAGGTTGTGCACCATAGTCTGCAAGCAAAAAGAGAATCAGAGGCCCAAGGAATTTACCCCAAGTAGGCACTTCAACGCTCAAGTCAGTAATGAAGAGAGATAGAGAGATCGATTAGGCCGAGCAGGTAGAGAGCTAGTCCAAGCCGAGGAGAGTAATGTGTGCTAGACCCCAAAGAGCTTACCTTGAGGGGGAGATGCCTTTATGTCGGATGAGGTCGACCACTGAGGTTCTCGAGAGGTCTCGCTCTCCCCGGTGGGCCACATCTCCGTGTCTGCGTGGGACGTGGCTTCCTCGTGATGCCTCTCCGTGATGTGATTGTGGTGACGTGTACCGACATGGTCCAAAATCACTGGCCACAGAGTTAGATCACGTGGTGGCTTTGGCTAGCCAAGGCATCACCCGGATAGTGAAAAAGTAGTAGTATGGGTGTCAATGGACCAGTTTTGGATTGGACCCATCCAATCCAAAATCAATTTGGACGGATTGGATGGACCAACAAGACATTGGATTGGACCAATCCGGTCCAAAATATTTATTAGATTGGATTGGACCTTGTCCGTTCATAATAAATTTATATTCGATTGGATTGGATTAAGCCAATATCTAGTCCACTAATATAAGAATATAGGTGTCAACTGGGTTAAAACCAATCTAAATTACAATGAATTTGAAGAGAATGAATGGTTCAGGTCCAAACATTGAATTGGACTGGTCCAAAATACTTATTGGATTGGATTGGACCTCGTCCATTTGTAATGGGATCATGTTGGACTAGATCGCATTGGACAAAAATCCAGTCCAATTGACACCCTAAGTGGTAGTTTAATTTACAATTTAAACCTTACAATTAAATATGGACTAAATTCAAAATTGAGTATTTTAGTTAAAAGAATGTTCCATAATCTTATTCATATTTTTAATAGTAGTGTAAATATAGAATTATAGATGTGTTCAATTTTTTTGTAATTCTTTTTGTACTTCTATGTGTAAAAATAATTCTGATATGTCATACTTACTTCTTGTTTAATATGATAATTATATGATATTATGCATGTGCCTGAATGTTCTTTTGAAAAATTATCTATTTTTTCATTTTGTATTTTTATGTTTTATTAATTTTTATTTATTTATTTATGGCATTAAACACTAAGAAATTTGACCCAAAAGTTGAATTATTGATCTTTGCCAAACAGTAAAATAATTTCATTTTTGCTCAATTGTAAATTATGTATTTATTTTCATTATCAATAAAGTTAATTCTTGTTTATCACACTTATTTTTTAATTTCATTAATAAAATAATCATAAATGTGTCTAATTTTTTCTACATTTTGCATTTTTTTATATTTATTTCTATTTTAAAATTTCTATTAACTAACTATGACTATATAGGTTGATCAATTTGATTCAGATGGTTGAATTTCTTAGCCACCATTTTGATAAATAATGGTTTTGTTATTGAGTTACTTTTAAAATATACAAGTTTATATTGTTAAAAATATTGGCATAGATCTAATTAGTATCATTTATTAGTGAAAAATAACTTAATATAGGATTTAATAAGAGAAAATGGGAGTTAATACTTTTAAGTTATAAGACTTAATGAGAGGGGATTAAATGAGGTGAAATGTAATAATTGAACTTACATTTTCAACCCTTACAATTAGAGATGCACTGATTAGACAAAATATGGGCATTTTAGTAGCCATTAAAGTTGGCATTAAAGCTACAATAAAATGACTTTTATACCCTTTCACAAACAATGAAATAGGAGTAATTTTTGTCCAAAAAAACTTTCGCATTGCACTTCCACTTTTATATATCTTATAGATTACAAAAGAAACTTTTGGGGTGGTGGACAAACAACCAAGAAAACATCCAAGCCATGATTCCAACCTTTTGTGTAACCAATTCATATGTTGATATTAGAGTCTGCTAATGGTCTAACTATATGTCACAGTGTACCAGAGAAAAGAAAAGAAAACAAGATCTATCCATGAGTATAAATGAACAGTAAGCATTCAACAAGCAAACAACACAACCAAACCCAGCTAAGTGAGATGGTATGCATACTTCTAGTTCATGAATAATAGCAGCAGTACGCCAACCAGCCTTTGAAGGTCCTCTTAGATCGCTAAATAGATGATCCCCAAAATATATCACCTAAATAATTTTTGAGATAATAAGTGCAAGACACATTGTAAGTAGCAACACAAAAACAAAAACAAATTTCTGTCAAAAAGAAAGTGACACAAAATATAAGTTTAATTCAATTCTATCTTCCTCTTAATTCTTATGCAGTAAGATTGCAAAAGAAAAAAACTTACTATTTGTAAACCTTTTTTCCACTACTTCATTGTAGTGTTTATACAGATTTAATGTGGATTTGTAAATTCAAAGTAATGAAATCACTTCATCTTAAATATTATTTTCTTGGTTACTAGAAGGCATGCTGAAGCAAATAAAACCTTATATTTATGTTTTCAATTTTCTATTCTTTTTCTTAATCTTATTTAACATGCATGAAAAAAGAAAAGAAAAAAAAAACTTTGCATCATGATAAAGAAGACTACATACCTCAGGACCTTTCCACCGAGTAATTTGGAGGAAAGATTTAAGACATCCATGGTAATAGACTTGATTTGGAAGAAATGCATCCACCCTGGAGAAAGCTAAGGTATCTTTCTCAATGTCATAGCAGCTACAAGAATAAGGAAATGGAGGAAAGGTTAGTAGATTCTTCATTGAGTATTAGTATACATGCAATTTTCTTTCTTCTTTATAACAATAAGTTTCTAATTATGAAAGAGAAAATGGTAGGGAAACTTTTTTTCTCTTTTTTTAGAATATTAGTTCACTGTCTGGACTCTAGTAGTCAAAAAGTTTTTTTCAATATTATATGACATAAAACTTGATAGTCTAGTGAATATCAAGCATGAAAACAGTGTGATACTCCTTTTTTGGTAATGACAATTTACATACCTGCACATGATTACTATGATTTTAACTTGGTAACCCAACTCAAAATATTCAACATATAGGTGACCTGAAAACTGATATGTATCATACAATATCCACCAATACATTACAATACATAGAACCATGTTGATAGTAATAATTATAGAGCTACTACATTTCTTAGTGCAAACAAATTCAGGAAAAAACGGTTGACAAAGACAAATTTAACATGAAATTTTTCTTTAAATACTTAAGTATTGTTGTTAGAGTTGTTCCTTGTTTCTGTTGTTAGGGTGCTGTCAGCATGTTCTTTTCTAGTTTAAATTAGTTTATTATTAGGGTGTGCCGCCAGGGGTATGTTTGTAATTTTCTTTTCTTTTAATCACTTATTGCTATTATAAATAAGAAGCTGACGCCGCCAGCTAGAACTTTTGACTCTTAAACAGATCTCTTCCTCTTCTCTTCTCTCCTCTCCTCTCTCTCTTCTCTCTCTTTCCAAGAAAGAAAACATGGTATCAAAGCCACTTTACTTTGACCAAGTGGTCTAGTGTTCGACCCTTGTCGCCCCCATTATAATTAAGTTTTCAGCACAAGGTATGGGTGGGCCTGTGCTTGTTCGCGCTTCAAGCTCAATGGGCTTTCATGTGAGGGGGCGTGTTAGAGAATATCAACCTATTCAAGGACCTCGCCTAACAGCTTAAGATTTTATGTTGAATGGTTCTTTGAGATGGTATCAGAGCAACAAATGGCGGAGTGTGATGGTTACAACTGAGAGGGAGCAACAAATGGCATTAGCTACAATGGGTGGCAATAATATGGGGAAGAAAAATGACTCCAAGAAAGTTGATGATAAGGAGTTGTCATGTACCCACTGTCAACGTTCAAGACACACGTGACACATGCTGGGAGCTCCATGGGAGGCCAAAGGGGCTGTAAAGAACCATGAATAGGGTAAGGTGTAGGGTCAGAAGAAGCCTAATACAGCACATAATGCAGCTAGGGTGTCAACTGGTACTTCTCGGGAGCACTTCACTGGTTCTGACCCCAAGGAAGATAACATGAATTCCTTTCGTAATCATTTGGAATCATATGGTAGGGCCTTGCATCAGATGGACAGTTTAGTTACTAGTACCCCTTCTACTTCTTTTGTGTCTACATCAAGTAATGAAGTCTTTGCCTTCCATGTCTCCACTGCCACTGATTCCCCCTAGATCATTGACTTTTAACCATATGACCAGTAAGCCACACCTTTTTCAGTCTTATAGCCTTTTGTCAGGAAGGGATAAGGTGAGACTTGCAGATAGATCATTTTCCTCCATTGTAGGCCAAGGATCAATATCCCTTCCTCATGGACTTAACCTAAATAATGTTTTGCATGTTCCACAACTTCCCATCAATCTGCTTTCCATTAGTAGTATCACAAACTCTTTAAACTGCAGTGTAACCTTTTTTCCTGGTTCATGTGTTTTTCAGGATCTAACTTCCAAGAAGACGATTGGTAGAGGAAGCTTAGTGGATGGTCTCTACACTCTTGACAACAAGGCTGGTTTCTCGATGTCATCCTCAAAGTCGCATAGACAGTCAAATAGGAGTCAATTTTTTTGTGGTGTAATCGGTTAGGTCATGTGTATTTCGAAATAGTGAAGTCTTTGTTTCCTTATTTATTCAAGTCATATTCAGTGTCAAACATGTTAATTGAGCAAGCAATGTAGAACAATATTTCATTCAAGTAATAAAAGATTAAGTTTCCCTTTCCATATTGTGTATTCTGATGTGTGGGGGCCTACTACTATAACTTTGAAGGGCAGGTATAAGTACTTTATCACATTGATTGATGATTTCTCTCGCTATATATGGGTATTTCCCATGCGTAGCAGAGACAAAGTTCCAAAGATTGTGAAAGATTTCCAAAGGATGGTGCTTACGCAATTTCATGTCGAAACCCAAAATTTTCAATCAGAAAATGCAAAGGAATATTTCCATGGTGAGTTCATGTGCAAGAACACCGCAACAAAATGGTGTTGCAGAAAGAACAGACACCTCCTTGAAGTAGCACGAGGGATGATGTTACACATGAATGTACCAAAACGCTTTTGGGTAGATGTTATACTCAAGGTTCAAAGTATCGATACAGGGTGTATGCTGGTAGGGCGTACCGGCCTGTATTGGTACTCTTTTTTTTTGTTTTTCTTTATTTTTTTCGAATATGGTTTAGAGAGGCCGGTTTAAGGCTGGTCTACCCCCTAAACCACTTTCCGACCCGAAACACCCCCTATAGGGGCATATCGGGAAGGCTCCGATATGATGCATATCAGTCGATACGTATCGATACTTTGAACCTTGGTTGTACTTGCTGTTGCTTGTCATTAATTGCATGCCCTCCAAAGTGTTGAACTACAAGGCCCCCCATCGGTTGGTATTCTCTTAGTCTCCTTTATTTTCCATTCCCATGAGGGTGTTTGGTTATCGTGCTTTTGTCCATGATTTATCTTCGTCTCGCGGCAAGCTAGACCCTCGATCTATTCCATGTATCTTTTGGGGGTATCCCTCCTCTCAAAAGGGTTATCAGTGCTTTGATCCCGTTGGTCATAAATTCTTTGTCTCTAAGGATGTCTCCTTTTTTTAGTCTGAACCATTCTTCCCTGCTTCTCCTCAAGGGGAGAGTAATGTGGAAGAGGAGAAGCAAGTCCAAGTTCATCAAGTCTCTCTTCCTTCTATTCCGGATCCTGCTCCTATTCGTGTCTTCCAACGTACACATCGTAGAAATCAGCAATGTAACAAAGGTGTGGAGCAACCAACACCTTCAAACTCCCAAGAGGTAAGTCCAACACCTCCTATTTCACCTGTTGGTACCCTAGCTCCCATTTCGGTTGTGGATGACCTTGACATTCCTATTGCTTACAGAAAGGGAGTCAGGTCATGCACTACCAAACACCCCATTACCCAGTATGTTTCCTATGACCACATTTCACCCTCTCATTGTGCCTTCCTATCTATAGTTGATAGCATCCCCATACCCAGAAATGTGGCAGAAGCCTTAAAATATCCTGAATGGACAGATGCTATGAAGGAGGAGATTAATACCCTCCATAAGAATCAAACATTAGAGTTGGTGGATCTTCCAAAAGGGAAAGACCCAATGGGGTGTAAGTGGGTGTTTACAATGAAACACAAGGCAGATGGGACAGTTTAAAGGTACAAAGCAAGGCTGGTATCTAAAGGATACACTCAAGTCTATGGTGTTGACTATGATGAGACATTTACTCTAGTAGCTAAGATGAACTTAATTCAAGTTCTTTTATCATTGGCTGCAAACCTTGACTAAGAATTGCATCAACTGGATATAAAGAATGCCTTTTTAAATGGTGATTTAGAGGAGGTGTACATGGTTCAACCCCCAGGTTTCTGTGCCAAAGGAAGTGAAAATAAGGTGTGCAAACTAAGAAAGTCCCTTTATGGTTTAAAACAATCTCTTAGAGCATGGTTCAGTAAATTTCATATGGGGGTTCAGCAAGTAGGGTTCAAACAATGTCAATCTGATCAGACTCTCTGTGAAAAGATGTTAGGAACAAGTGGTTGTGTTGATAGTGTACGTGGATGATATCATCATTACAGGAAACTGAAGCATAGAAATGCAAAAGTTGAAGGAATTCCTTGCTTCTCAATTTGAAGTGACATCTGAATCCTCTAAAATACTTTCCAGGAATTGAAGTTGCCCCTTCAAAAAGGGGCATCTTCATTTCTTAGAGGAAGTATATCCTACTGTTACAGGACACAAGCAAGTTAGGTGCAAAACTAGTAGATACCCCTATGGATGTTGATCATAAACTAGGAGATTGTGATGGTGAACCACTGAAAGATGTGAAACAGTTTCAAAGGTTAGTGGGAAGGCTGCTCTATCTATCCATGACACATTAAGACATTTCTTATTCAGTTGGGGTTCTGAGTCAATTCATGCATTCCCCTAAGAGACCACACATGAAGGCGGCAGAGAGGATTCTTAGGTATTTGAAAAAGTATCCAGGAATAGGTTTGCTATTCAGTAAACATAATCATCTAAAGGTGAATGTCTATACAAATACTAATTGGGCAGGTGTTGTGGATGATAGAAAGTCCACAAGTGGGTACTGCACATTTGTGGGAGGAAATCTAGTGACATGGAGAAGTAAAAAACAAAGTGTAGTTGCGAGRTCGAGTGCTAAAGTGAAGTATAGGACTATAGCACATGGGGTGGCCAAAGTGCTTTGGTTGAAGAATCTTCTAGGGGAGCTTGGGGTTATTGTTCACAATCCTATGTCTCTTTATTGTGATAATAAAGTAGCTATAAATATTGCCAACAACCCTGTCCTGCACAATAGGACCAAGCACATTGAAGTGGACTGTTTGTTCAGTGGCTTCAGTAGTTTGAACCAGAAGAAGAAGAAAAAGAACAGTCGAACCTAATAGCTAAACCCTATCAGTCGACCATAATGTAGATTAGTTTCTAATTAATTGTGCAATGACTAACCTGCCCCCACTTAAGTATGGGACAAGAAGTCATATTAGAACTGCCACATAAGCACATAACTTAGCTGAGTAAAAATGACTAATCTACCCTTATTCGGCTAGCTCTAACATGGACAAACACTTCATAAGGAAAAAATTGGAAAAGGGAGAAATCTCTACTCCCTATGTCAACTCCAAGGAGCAACTAGTTGAAGTTCTCACAAAAGGGCTTCCATACTTGCCGCACAACGAGTTGTGTGACAAGTTGGGCATGATAGATAATATTCAGCCCAACTTGAGGGAGTGTGTTGTTAGAGTTGTTCTTTGTTTCTGTTGTTAGGGTGCTGTCAGCATGTTCTTTTCTAATTTTAATTAGTTTATTATTAGGGTGTGCCACCAGGGATATGTTTGTAATTTTCTTTTCTTTTAATCACTTATTGCTATTATAAATAAGAAGCTGGCCACCGCCAGCTAGAACTTTTGACTCTCAAGCAGATCTCTTCCTCTTTTCTTCTCTCCTCACTCTCTTCTCTCTCTCTCTCTCTCTCTCTCTCCAAGAAAGAACAAGTATCCAGCCTAGTGGTGCAAATTGGAAACCTGGCATGAGGAATTTACGCAGCATCAGGCTTAGGCCCTTGGGCCAGGCCCATTTAAATTTTAACAAATCCTTAACCCACGCCTGCCCAACTTACAGCCCTATAGTCTAACCTAACATTCAATGTGATTCCACGCATTGCAAGCAATTCTATCACATAGCTTTCCACCAATACTGAATGAGGATATAGTTCAAACCTCGGTAATTATAACAATTATCAACTAACAATGTTCATCTCACATCCATGGTTTACAAAAATTGTCACATGAAGATTGCAACGCTAAGAACTGGTCGAGAGAGACAGAGACCGAGAAAGAGAGAGATTGTAAATGCCAACAAATTGCAACTCCATCCCCAAATAGAATAAGCTACATACCCATATAGAAAACTGTGTAGTAAGATGATGCATGATACAGCTCTAACACCCAAAAAACTGGATCTAGATAAACTCAATTGCTGCTACATTCTGCTCCCTAAGATTCTATTTTAACAGTGTTAGGACTTAGGTGAGAGCAAAATCCCAATTCATTCAAAAATTGCAACAATCCTCATAGAGCACTTCCAAGCCCTTTTACCCAACAAATAGCAATAGACCTTTCCTCCATTGCCCAATGCTTCCTACAAAATGTTTCTATCTCCATGGGTACTGCAAGAAAATATCCCTATAATAGTTTCTAACACATTTCCTACTGTTTAAATGAATTCAATTACAAAAATGTGATGTTGGAGTCCATGATCATGGAAATACTTATCTATCAATAATAATTCCTAACCTATTTGCTGTTCTCCAAGGAATACAAATGGGATAGGAAACTGGACATGGCAAGAATATTAATCGAGGTTGAGGATACATCTGCTATCCGTCACAGTATGTTTCAAACATTTGCAGGTGAAAAATATCTTACGGTTGATAATATAAGCGGAGGATTGAATGTATTTTGGGAAAAGAAGGAGATGTCAATGGAAAATCAAAAGAAGGTAGAGGAGGGAAGGGTGGAAGAGGGAAGGGTGGGTCCGGGAACAAAAACATCAGGGGGCAAATGGAGGGAAGAGGCAAGGGAGGAGAGGGAGTCGAAGAGCCAAACTGAGGAAGAAGATGATGAAGAAAAGAATGAGGTGGCGATGGAGGATTCAAGTGGTGGTTACATGGCCAACTCAAATCCAGGTAGAAGGGCGAATGTGACCCACATGGAGAAGTAATATATGGAGCCAAGGACAATGTTGTCAAAATTTTAAAATTGATACAATTCACGATTTGAATCATGAATTCCAAGGGATGAGATGCTACCTCCCTATAGGGATGAGTACAAACTCATAGGGAAAAAAGGAGAGTACAATCAGCTTTAGAGGAGGCACGAGATGCTACCTCCCCATAGGGACGAGTACAAACCCAAACTCTTATCAGTAAACAAAATTTTTTTTTTTGAAAAAAGATAAGGTAAAATTATAAGTTAGCCCAATACAATGAAACCCGAGAAGCCCCTTGTTTAGGCCCAACTCCTATTCCAGAAAAGTAGATCATCCTCATCATTTATTCCAGCATAGTAGGTAACAAATACAAATAGTTTCTTCCCAAATTGTTGCTTGTAAGCATATCAATTGAAACGACTGATCTTAAGTTCAGGGGAATGGGGAGTTCAGAATTAGCAGTTGTCACAAAGGAAAGATGATCAAATCACAATAGGCCCAGAACAGGGATTTAGATACACCCAATGACATATTGAGAATTGTCTTCAACATAAAACCTCATACTTAGTATTCTAGGTTTATATAATAGTTTATCATGACATAATAATTTAGAAATATACATTTAAGCTTCTCCTATCCTTCCTAAAGTATTTATGAATATCAGCAGTGACTTTGCAATATTTTTACAACATTTTAGCACAAAATATGTCATGTGTTTCCTATTTTTGCATGACAAAAATTTCCACTAATGCTCCTTGAAGTACATTATGAAAAACAAATACAATGTGATTTCTCAAATTTATATTAGTTTGAGCAGCAAAGGTTTCTATCTCCAATTTCTTAGCAGAGAAAATGTTGTCATTTTTGTACTAATTGCTCTACAGCATGATAATATTTTAGCCATCTAAACCAAAACTGTTATGCACCATTATTGGGATTCAATCTAACTTAGTAGCCTGGGTGTTTTTGCCAATTTAATTTTCTTTGTTTACTGGCATATGCATGGTCTTCTTGCTACAAGGCATCAAAGGGGCATATAATGAGTTAAACACAGGATACATGGCTTTGCATTCAACCATTTGACCCAAAAAGAGATGCAAATGAGGATGCAGATTGTACAAAATGACAAATACAATAATCATCCTCAAGTCATAAGGATCAGATGTAAGCATCATATAGACAAAATGGACAGATACAATCATACAGGCATAATATCTAGGAAGATGAAGATAAAAACCGGAATGGGTGCTCAGAATTGTAAAAGCCTGGCTTATTAGCTCGAGCAATCACAACGTCAAAAAGCTCCCTCCAAGAATCTGTACTTCCTATTGCGTCCTATTGAAAATTTGAAACGAATGAACTCTAATTAAAAAGCTTCCAATGCAAACCCATAACTAATTAAACATCAAAAACAAATACTAACATAAAAGTGCTAAAATGACAAGACCATTTTCAAAAAACAAAAAACAAAAAACTTTTGTAAGGGCTCTAATACTAAAACAAGAACAAAAGGGAAAGAAAGTGCCCTATAGGTTTAAACTTGCTAAAGGATCTGATATCTGTCATAGAGAATAACGAGAAGAATAAAGAGAGAACAAGAGAGGGGAGAAAATCAGAGATGTGTGTGGCAGTGCCAAGACAGTTCTTTTATGTAGAGTGTACTAAAATGATTAAATTACATTAATGCCTCTAAAGACTACTAACTAGATAATTCTAACTCCCCCTCAAATTAGGCCATAAATGTCACACATACCTAACTTGTTATAAAGATCATTATGGCATAATCTAGTCAGTCTTTTTTTTTTTTGATAAATGTACACTGCTCAGTCTTTGTAAATGTAATCATTCGTGGAGAGTGGGAGATGAGAGAGAGAGAGAGAAAGAGAAGAAAAAGAGAGATACAATTGAGAAGAAAAGAAAAGTCATTGCTGGCTGTCGCCAATTCTCTATTTATATTAACTTAATAAAAAAGAATAGAAATTACAATTATGCCCCTGGTGGCACACCCTAGAACCGAACTAATAAGAAAAAAGAAAAAGCAACTAACTGACAGTATCTTAAGAAGTCAGCCTACTGACAGCAACTATAAAGTAACAATTAAATAAGGCCTTACAACACTCCCCCTCAAGTTGGGCTGAATATGTCTATCATGCCCAGCTTGTCACATAACTCATTGTGCCGCGAGTATGGAAGCCCCTTTGTGAGGACATCAGCAAGATGCTCCTTGGAGTTGACATAATGGATGCAAATTTCCCTTTTTTCCAATTTTTCCCTTATGAAATGTTTGTCCACCTCAATGTGCTTGGTCCTCACATGTAGGACAGGGTTGCTAGCGATGTTTATTGCTGCCTTGTTGTCACAGTAAAGAGACATAGGACTATGAACAACAACTCCAAGCTCCCCTAGAAGATTCTTTAGCCAAAGGACTTCAGCCACCCCATGTGCCATAGCTCTATATTCAGCTTCAGCGCTTGACCTTGCTACCACACTTTGTTTCTTGCTTTTCTAGGTCACTAGATTTCCTCCCACAAATGTGCAAAACCCACTTGTGGACTTTCTGTCATCCACAGCACCTGCCCAATCAGCATCTGTAAAGACTTCCACTTTTAGGTGATTGTGTTTACTGAATAGCAGACCTGTTCCGGGATATTTTTTCAAGTATCTAAGAACTCTCTCTGCTGCCTCCATGTGTGGTTTCTTAGGAGAGTGCATGAATTGGCTTAGCACCCCAACGGAATAGGCAATGTCTGGACGGGTCATGGACAAATAAATCAGTTTTCCCACTAACCTTTGGAATTGTTTCACATCTTTCAGAGGTTCACCATCACAGTCACCTAACTTGTGGTCAACATCCATGGGAGTATTTGCTGGCCTTGCACCTGTTTTGCCTGTGTCCTGTAATAGATCAAGGGTGTATTTCCTTTGAGAGATAAAGATACCCTTTTCTGAGCGGGCGACTTCAATCCCAAGGAAATACTTCAGGAGACCTAGATCTTTCACTTCAAATTTAGATGCAAGGAAATGTTTCAATTTTTGTATCTCTGAACTCCAGCTTCCTGTAATGATGATATCATCCACATACACTATCAATACAGCAACCTATTCCTGACATGTCTTCACAAAAAGTGTATGATTAGACTAACATTGTTTGAAGCCCATCTGCTGAACTACCATGTCAAACTTACTGAACCAAGCTCTGGGAGATTGTTTTAAGCCATAAAGAGACTTTCGCAGCTTGCACACCTTATTTTCACTTCCCTTGGCACAGAATCCAGGGAGTTGAACCATGTATACTTCCTCCTCTAAGTCACCATTCAGAAAAGCATTCTTTATGTCCAGTTGATGCAATTCCCAGTCAAGATTAGCAGCTAAGGACAGGAGAACCCTAATTGAGTTCATCTTAGCTACTGGAGCAAAAGTCTCATCATAGTCAACCCCGTATACTTGTGTGTACCCTTTGGCTACTAATCTTGCTTTGTACCTTTCAATTGTTCCGTCTGCCTTGTATTTAACCGTGAACACCCATTTACACCCCACAGGGTCTTTCCCCTTTGGAAGGTCCACCAATTCCCAAGTTTGATTTTTATGAAGAGCATTAATCTCCTCCTTCATGGCATCTGTCCATTCAGAGCATTTTAAGGCTTCTGCAACGCTTCTGGGAACATGGATGCAATCAACTGCAGATAGGAAGGCTCGGTATGAGGGGGAAATGTGATTATAGGAGACAAAATGGGTAATGGGGTGTTTGGTAGTGCATGACCGGACTCCCTTTCGTTGAGCAATAGGAATGTCAAGGCCATCCACAGTAGGAGTAGGGTTAGGGAGTGGACTTACCTCCTGGGAGTCTAACAGTGTCGATTGCTCCGTGTTTGGCTACTCCACATCTCTATCGCATCGCTGATCTCTACGGCGTGTACGTTGGAAGACACGAAAGGGAGCAAGGTCCAGAATAGAAGGAAGAGATACCTGAACCTGCTTCTCCTCTTCCACACTACTACTCTCCCCCTGAGGAGAAGCAAGGAAGAATGGCTCAGACTCAAAGAATGACACATCCATAGACACAAAAAACTTACGACTAACGGGATCAAAGCATCGATACCCTTTTTGAGAGGAGGGATACCCCAGAAAGATACAAGGAATGGACTGAGGGTCTAACTTACCTCGAGATGGAGACAAATCATGAACAAAGGCATGACAACCAAAGATTCTCATGGGAATGGAAAATAAAGGGGACTGAGGGTACAATAACTGGTGAGGGGCCATGTAGTTCATCACTTTGGAGGGCATGCGATTGATGACATAAGCAGCTGCCAGTATAGCATCCACCCAAAACCTTTTTGGAACATTCATGTGTAACATCATCCCGCGAGCTACCTCAATGAGGTGTTTGTTTTTTCTTTCTACAACACCATTTTGTTGTGGTGTTCTGGCATATGAGCTCCTATGAATAGATCTGTGGGAGACAAAGAACTCATTGAGCTCCCCATGGAAGTATTCTTTTGCATTGTCGGATTGGAAGATCTGTATTTCAACATGGAACTGCGTAAATACCATCCTCTGGAAGTCTTTCACAATCTTTGGAACTTCGTCTCTACTACGCATAGGAAATACCCATGTATAGCGAGAGTAATCATCAATCAATGTGATAAAGTACTTATATCCGCCCTCAGATATTACATTTGTAGGCCCCCATACATCAGAATACACAACATGAAAATGAACATTTGATCTTTTATTACTTGAGTGAAAAGTTGTTCTACATTGTTTGCTCAACTRACACGTTTGACACTGGAACTCTGACACTGAACATGACTTAAATAAAACCGGAAACAAAGACTTTACTATTTCAAAAGAAACATGACCTAAACGACTATGCCATAAAAGAATTTGACTCTTATTTGACTGACTATGTGACTCTGAGGATGACACCGAGAGACCAGCTTTGTTGTCGATAATGTAGAGACCATCCACTAGGCTCCCTCTATCAATCGTCCTCCCAGAAGCTAGGTCCTGAAAAACACATGAATCAGGAAAAAATGTTACACTACGGTTTGAAGAGCTTGTAATACTACTAATTGAAAGCAAATTTATAGGAAGTTGAGGGACATGCAGTACACAATTCAGATTAAGGCCATGGGGAAGAGATATTGATCATTGGCCTACAATGGAGGAAAATGAGCCATCTGCAAGTCTCACTCTATCCCTTCCTGACAAAAGGCTATAAGWCTGAAACAAGTTCGGCTTACCGGTCATGTGGTTGGAGGCCCTTGAGTCAATGATCCAAGGGGAATCCGTGGGAGTGACATGGAATGCAGAAGCCGTATTACCTGATGTAGATGCAAATGAAGTAGAGGGAGTACCAATGACTGAGTTGTCCATTTGTCGCAAAGCCCTGCCATAAGATTCCAGGTGTTCTCTGAAGGAATTCATTATATCTTCCTTGGGGTCAGAATTATTAAGGTGGTCCCAGGTACTACCAGCAACCTAAGTATCTTGGGTTGCCACATGTGCTGCATTCTGTGTTGTGTTCATCTTCTTCTGACCTTGGCCTTTACCCTGTTCTTGATTCTTCACTACCCACTTGGGTTTCCCGTGGATRTCCCAACAAGTGTCACGTGTATGCCGTGAACGCCGACAGTGGGTACAGAACAACTTATCTTTATCATCAGTCTTCTTCGTGTCACTTTTCTTCCCTGTGGAGTTATTATTCATCGCAGCCAAAGCAACTTGTCGCTCCCCCTCAGCTGTAACCATCACACTCTGCCTACTTTCTTCTGATTGAATAAGGGAGTATACCTCGTGAACCGACGGCAACTCTTTGCTTCCTAGGATCTGAACCCTCAACAGTTCATAGGCAAGGTTCAGTCCCAACAAGAAGGCAAACACACGTTGCTGAGAGACCAGCTTCCTGTAGGCCTTAGCATCATCATCATGTTTCCACTCTATAGCCTAATAATGATCCAATTCTTTCCATATGGAGGTAAGGGCTGAATAATATGAAGACAAACTACGGTTGCCCTGTTTATAGGTTGAAGATTCAGCTTG